CAACGAAAAAAATATATATAATATCAAATAAAAAACTTTTTGTATTTTACAGTTTAATTTGAGTAATATATTGAGGGCTGTCGTGTTGTATAAAGGGCTGGTAAATACCGTTTTTTGTGTGTGTTTTATATAATAGACAGATATATCATTATTAAGAGTGTTTATATATATTTTTGGTGATAGAGAAGAGTCTCTTCTCTCTCTCTCTCTCTCTCTCTCTCTCTCTCTCTCTCTCTCAGCCCTTGCCATCAGATAATGGCTTCATTTCCTGATTGAGAGACCAATTTTAGAGTCATTGGTTTAGAAATTATATTATTGGCATTAAAAGCAAAAATACTATATAATAATAATGTTTGGGTATATACTGTACTAATGAAAATGAGAGACTCATAGCGATTCAGCAAAAATTAACTATTGATTCATCGCTTAAAACAACAGACTATTTTATTATACATATATATATATATATTGTATATAAAACAATAGAAACTGATTGGTATGGCATGGAATGGTATGGTATGGACTGTACAGTATATAGAGAAAGGAAAGGGTCTTTAGGGAGGGAGGGGATTGATGGATGGATAGACAGATAGACAGTAGTGGTAGAGTAACTAAAAATGCATTACACGCATAACATAAACATAATGGAGTTTTTTGTGTTATTATATGGCAATTGTGATGAATAGCAAATTCATTGGTTGAACAAATGGATTGACTCATATATATATATGCATATAGTTTTAATATATATTTATAATAAATAGATACATCAAAAAAGCAACAAAAATTACATTAAATATATTAAAACAAATTTTTAATGTATTTTCCAAAAACTTAATGACATCTCTCTTTCTCTCTCTTCCTCTTTAGTGTTGTTAATGATGAGCAATAAATTGGTTTTTTTAAATAAAAATAAAATAAAATTAGTGTATCTATAATATCGTCATCAATAATAATGATAATAATTTTTGTTGTTTTTAGCGTTTTTAGCGTTTAAAAGGGCAATCGATAGGACAATTGCATCACCAAAGTGTGTGTATGTCTAGACCCAAGTGCACTCCCAGTTCAAAATAATCAATATTACTGGTGCTGTAAGGGTGGATATATCGTACTGTATCATCAATTGTCATATTATGACAATTAGTTTGAGTGCCAGCAGACCATTTCAGACAATTTTCTGGCCAATAAACAAATAAAATATATATAAATTATATTATATTATGTTATGGGGCACACCAAGTAGATAACCGGGCACTGTTACCCATTAGTGAGCGATAGGAGAGGATAGACAATCAAATTAATTTCAATTGAAATAAGCAATGAATATGCTATGAATGTATATATTATATTATATATGTATAACAACAACAACAACAACTGAAAAGTGGTGTCATTAATATTTACATTATAACGATAGGGTGTATAGGGTTTGGTCGATCAGACTGTCTGACTGACTCTATATATGTATAGCCTATCAGTTTAGATATTAAATATATGTTTTGTTTCCTATGAAAATATAAATCGATATCCCAGTCGTCGTCGTCTATCAGTCACTCACTTACTCACCAAAAAAAAAATATTTTCTATTACTATAACAGCCAAACATAACCAAAACACAACACAAACCTAATGGCAATAAAATGATAGCAAAAATATTATTATACTGTATTGTATATACAGTACATTCGCAATAGTTTTTATTCAATGTATACATTGTATTAATATATAAAATATTACAGTATCTGTTCAATAGCTTAACTATTATACTCTTATGGTTGAGGAGTAGTCCAATCATCCTCTTGGATGGCCATCGATATGGTGACTGAGTGAGTAATGACTGAGAGTAAAAGTGTGTGAGTGAGTGTATGAGAGTGGGTGAGAGAGAGAAAGAGAGAGAGAGAGAGAGAGTGAAAGATAAAGAGAGATCTGGGATCAGATGATCTGATTGGGATTGGACTCCAACCTCTCCCAAAACTACTGTCTCATAAATATAATAAAAACTCATCTAAAAATGAGTCATTGCATCCATACATATGACTACTACTAGTAGTAATAGTAGTAATATTAAAGTGTAGTAAATGAATGACTAAAATATTGTAAAAATTTTCATCAGAAAGATGTGAATAGTGAAAGTTGAGATAAAAATGTATATAAAAAAAATAAATATAATTTGTGTAATAAAATAGCTTTTATAAAAATTTTGTTGTTTTGTCTGAGGCATCAGTTTTCAGGTCATATATATATAATAGAAAGCAAAGATAAAATTGAGAGAAAAAATCGTATTTTATATTTTTCGTTCATAACTATTGTATTGTATTGAATGCTATATCATATAAAATTTCATTTCATTTTTGCATATAATATATATATATTTTCATTTTATATTAAATTCGGTTAAATAAAGTGATCATTCCGTTCACTTTCTCTCTCAATGGTAACAAAAAAAGTGATGAAAGCTTTTTTCATTTATTTATTTTTTTATTCAATGAATTAGCTCAACGATTGAATGCATCGGAAAAAAGTTATTGAAAAGCACACCAACAAAATTTAAATAAATAAATAATAAACGTATAAAATAAATAAATAAATGAAATACACTTTTTTTATTAGTAAAAATTTCTGATGAATTGACTGACGAGTGATGAGTCAACACTACATATAAACAACACGACAACTGAATATTATATATTTGTATATAAAAATATATTCTCATTTTATTGTATAATTTATACCAAATATGCATAAAATAGTTGAAAGCAAAGAGAGAGAGAGAGAGAGAGAGAGAGAGAGAGAGAGAGAGAGAGAGAGAGGTCTTTGAACGCAAAAGCAAAATATAATTAATTTACGCGAATTACAGCATATATTAAGCTCTGGTATTCATATTATATATAAAATATTGAATCCCTGGCTAACTAACTATAAATAAATACATATATATATATAATATTTGACTTAATATACGGTAGTATGAAATTCAGTGTTCAACCGTTTGTGTGTCGCCCAGAGATATGGTTTATGAAAAATCAGTGGCAAAACGGAAATCAATGGCACAGAGAAAATACTTAATATAATATTATAATATATATATATATTTATATAGAAATCACTTATAATAAGGCATTTATTTTGTTGAGAGATTTTATCCATTGATTGAACAAAATGTTAAGCCTATTATTACACAATTAGACTTATAGTATGGATATTGGTATGGGCTGTGATTAGCTCCAGAAATAAGAGACCATTCAATACAAATGGATGAGACCCTCTTTAGACTAGTATTTCGGGGAAATGGATTGCGAAATAAGTGGACTGTTTTTGCTTATATCATAAAAAGCATATATATATATATATATATACATTATGTATGTATACATAGTGACTGGATTTTGCCTATTGAATGGCTACTACTATACCATCAGAAAAAACCAGAGAGTATTTGAATAGTAATTTAAATTACAACACAACAGATAGAGAGCTAACAACACATGATTATCATTACAATCATTGATGACTGACTACCAGTGAACCTGTATGTATGGTATGTACTGAATTTACTGTATGTATATGTGCTCACCATTACTATGTGGTGTTACTATTGTTGGATAACATAACAACAACAACAGCTAAAATTGAAAACAACAGCAAAATAAAAAAAATAAAAAGTTTTTTTGTGTCCCTTTTATTTTGCAGAGGAAATCATTTGTTGGTGTGATTTGGATGGAGAGGAGACAAAACAATTTTTTAGTTTTATTTTATTTGAAATATTTGACTGTAAAAATAATGATTACACAAATGTAAATTGTAATATAATATGTACGACAATATTGTCAACAAATTATAAATACAAATATCAATGACATGCTATGATCCCAATGTATGATAAGTTTTTATTTACAATGTGTCTGTGTATGTGTTGTTTTACATAATATCGTATTATTATTTCAATGGGAAAGCAATTAAAATTAAAATAACAAATAAAAAAATTGTTGAGTGCTTTAAATTTGGCGATTATATTATCATACATTGAATTTTCATTTTGTTTGATTTGTCTCTCTCTTTCTCCTATCTCTTATCTAAACAATTAATTAAATATTTAATAGTTTGCTAACTTTCCCTCTAATACATACACAGTATTAAGTAAAGTACATTATATACAGTACTGTACTCCAGTATAGCATTAATTTGACTCTAATTTACTGTATTATTAAATACTATGAAAACCTATGCTATTGTATGAAAAAAACGAACTTTAGGCGAAAAACTTAATTAAACTTTTAGTTAAAGTATTAAACACATTATTAACAATGTATGAGAGAGAGAGAGAGAGAGAGAGAGAGAGAGAGAGAGAGAGAGAGAGAGAGAAAGAGAGAGAGAGCTAATTGGTATACAAACTAAAAGTTTGTACAAAGTTGTAAGCAAATTAACAAAAAAGAAATATATATATTTATATTTATTTATTTAATGACAACAATTAAACTAAATTTTTACTATTGGTTTAAAGGGAAAAAATGAAAACGACAGTCACAATAGTAAAAACTAACATAAGAGACAACAAAAATTAAAACCTTAATTTATCTCAATTAAACAAAAGTAAATGCAAATTAATGTTAAATTGTTTAGACACACACACACATTAAAAAATTTAACAAACAAATGTATTTAAAGATATTTGTGTGTTAATACATATATACAGTATATATATGTCGTGTAATTACATGTGAGATAAAGATTTATTATACATTACAACAACAACAACATAATTATAATCGCAATTAAAGTCACAAAATATTAAATTTTACTTTTAAAAATAGGTGTGTATGTACTGTATGTTAGTGTTATTTTAGTGTTATGTTAGTATGTATGGCTTAGACACACACAAAGGTACCTGAGTTACACAAAGTACCTGAGCGCACCATATTGTGTGTGATTTATATTCAGTATATGATATATATATATATATCTTTTTTTTAAAAAAATAACAAAAAAAATAATGGCCATACCTTTTGCCCCTGCCTACTTTGTCGAGTTCAACATGTCGAAAATCATATACTGACGGCATTTTTATATGGGTTATATATATTATTATTATTTGTCGATATCAAACAACAACGTAAAAAATATGTCCAGCAATAAAATTTATTTTATCCAAACAAACAGTTTAAGATTATTATAATAATAATTATTATTATTATTTGAATTGCCAGAAAATGTTGAAATTAATATTTATTTTTTTCTTTTAGGAAATCACAATCACTTAATATTATTTTTTTTTTGCTTTCAAAATAAATGACTGTTGTTTTTCTGGGAATAGACAACAATAACACACAATTAGAAGTTAGGTTTTTCGTAAAATATATATATATATATATATATAAAAACTTTTTTAGACTTTTTTCTCGTTTAAGTTATTCACTGAATGAAAAAATATTTTCTGAGAAAAACAATTTTTCTCTTTACTGATGGGCTTTCAATTGACTTTTTAAAACTTATATAACAATTCCATTGGTTTCTTACAGTTTCAGTATATAGTTATATAAGAGCTTTGATTTTCATAAACACCACTCTCTATCCACAAACACAATATAAATATATATATATTTCTCTCTCTCTCTCTCTTTAAAAAAAGTTCAACATATAATAGTAATGTATAATAATAATAACAGTAGTAGTATTGGTTGGTTGGATGTATGTATGTGTGTATATGATGTCTGTGTCCTGTTGTTGTTATGCTGTTGTGAATGTGTTGTCGGGTTTTATATAGGGAATCGGCGCCTGCGGGTTAGGTAACTGCCAGAGTCTAGTGGGAAGGGCAGACACTGTCAGACAGGTTTTAAATGTCTGCCTAGAAATGTGTGTGTGTTTGGAAGCAATCGTCGATTTTTTGGTACCCAAGTTTGCCAACACACTAGAGTGTAGTATGTGTTTGAAAGAGAGAGACACCGGGAGAGAGAGGAAACAAGTTTTTCAAAAAAAAAATATTACATATAAGTCCAAAAAAAAATTAACTAACATTTTTCCAAACTTTTTCTTTATTATTATTAATAATAATATATTATATAATATATATATAAGTTTTATAAAAACATAGGAATAAGAGAACAGGTATGCGTTCCTCAAACTGGCCGAACCAGAGATGATGATGATGTTGCTGTTGTTGTTGCTAATGGTGCCGGTGTTGATGGTGTACTACAACTATACATATTAACCACTTTAGGCATTAATGTAATCTTAAGCGACTGTCTCTCATAACTTTCCGTATCGATACTAAGCCACGAGTTGTTTGGCGCAACAGACAGAATCTCCTCATTATTGACAATCATATTATTATCTGACTGTCGATCGTCGTCACCGTCATTATCGGCATCAATAGCTTCTGTACCGACAGTAACATCAGCGACGACACTATCGCCATCATTATCTGCACCACTTTGAGCACCGATACTACTAATATTAATATTATTGTTATCATTGGTTAAATCAATATTAATATCCATGGCTTCAATCACTTTAACGCCAGAATTTTCGTCATCGCTATCGGGCAACGGCTCACTATTAAATAACTTTACGCTATAATAAAAAATTAAAGTCAAAACAATAAATAAACAATAAATAAATATATATATATATATAAATAAAATGATAGATACAAACAAAAAATTGCTAAAAAAATAAAAACAATATAAAAGAAGAGAGAGAATCGTATAATTTATGGCCAAATAATTATAATAAAAGGCTTTTTATATTCAAAACAACCTTTTATTATATAATAGATAAAAGGTTTTTAAGTTTATTTGAGACTAAAAGGATGAGAGAGAGAGAGAGAGAGAGAGAGAGAGAGAGAGAGAGAGAGAGAAACTAAAATAATTTATAGTCTTAAATAGCTAAACAAAATAAATACATAGTAAAGTTAAGGTAAGGTAGCTATCAATATATATATATATATATATATATAAAACACATATAACATTATATAAGAGAATGGCATATTTGACTGAACGCACCCGTGGCTAATGAATTGATTTTGTGTTAAGGGCTGGCAATAAATAATTAGCCTTAATTTGCATTCATTAGTATTCACCACTAAAACGTTGGCAGCGCTTCTATCACTCATTGTTGACCAGTTTTGACACTTGTCGTTAATCACATGACGGTAATCAATGTGCCGACGATTTGATTGATTTGCCACCAATTGATTGCTACCGTTGTTGTTGTTGTTGCTGTCATTGCCTGATGTCGTAGACTTTCGTGACATAAATATATGCCACCAGCGGGTCGTACTATCGCGTGACTGATTGCCGACACCAGAACCGATAGTCGACTGTTCAAACCGTTCGTAACATTTGGAGCACCCATTGCACGGCTCGCTATACGACACCGTCAGGTCGTCCACCGGTGATAATGTCTATATATAGAAATTTAGTAAAAAATAACTATTCAAATAAATAATTTTCATATGACTTTCCTTTAATAATTAATTAATTAGTTTTTATAGATAAATATTTTTTTTTGTTTTGTAATAATTTTCATAACCTTTCACTTAAATGATTGTTGTTGTTGTTATTATAATTTTTTTAAAGATAATTTCTGCTATAGTTATAGTGTATTGAAATTTCTATCTACATATTATATACATAATTTACAAAACACTATCAAACAAAAAAAAACAAAACCCAAAAATTACATAATTATAATTTTGCCCAAAAATTATTAATTACTTTTAATTTATAATTAACGTCAAAATATAAAATGAAACTCATTTCTTACATATTAAGCTGATTATATATATATATATATATATAATATTAAATATAATGCATAAACATATATTAATATATAGATAAATATAAAATATGCAATATTAGTATGCTGTATAAACAAAAACTTATTAAAAAAAATTAAAATAACTAAAAACTGGATAAACAAAACAACAAAAAATATCTAAAATATATTTAATAATATATGATATTTTTTTCGTGAAAAATATGAGCCGAAAAAAAAGAGGAGCAACAAAAAAAACTGAAACTTACTTTAAACGAGTTAACAAAAAATGCAAAATAAGGTTTCAATTTACTGCCAAAATACCAATACTTGTCGACTACAGTAACGGTATCTCTTATTTTGCCGCAATTAAGCTCATCAATGGCGTAAACAGGCCTACCAATGGTGCCCTCGATTTTCATCACATCAATCGGTGCCAACACTTCACGGATGGCACTCATTGTAGACTCAGCTAAAACCCTTTTTTTAATATATAATTTATATATAATATTAATAATACAGTTATAATAATAATAATAAGGGTTAACCATTTTAATGCAATTTTATATACAACATTAAAAATATAACAATAACTCTATAATAATAATCGCATTAAAACTATTATATATATATTTTTTTTTGTTTTTTTATATATACAATATAATCTATACACACACTTGCAGTAAACTGTTTTATTGCTGACACACAATATGCAATAAAAACTTACTTATATTTATTATATAACTATAGTTATATAATAAATACAAATAAATAGTAAAACAACTTTTTTCAAATACATAAATATATTATAAATATAATCTAAATTTATTTTTTTAAAACTATAATTTTAATAATTGTGTCAAAAGTCTTACTCGTAATGATTGAGACGTCTTTCGTAAAACTTATTCAATTTCATGGCAATTGTATTGCGTCGGCCAACCGGTAGTATACCGATCGGAAATCGGTGAATAGCCGTCAGATAGTCCTCACGTCTCAATAGACCCGTCACTGCCTCGTGTACTGTGCCGTTGCCGCCGGCAATCAATATGCCGTCTGTGTTGTTCATAATCTCCATCAGATCTTTTGTCTGTCCCTCGGCTTCGGTGACCACTAGCGAGACCCGAATACCGGCCAAATAGAGAAGCGGTGCACAGTATTTGTCGTACAGTGCCTTACTTTTGCGACCGTTGGCCACTGGGTTCAGTATTACCGTAATGTGTCGGCACTTAACATCGGGTCTTATATAATGACTACCGAAACGCTGTTTTATTTTTTTTAAAAAAAGTAATTATTTTTTAAAAACCTTAAAATTTAAAACATAATATAATTTATTTAAATTCAAATTTTGTATTATCTAATAACATGGGTCAATGTAATCAATATATATATATATCATATACGGTATATTTATAAATATGATATATAATGAACTGAATGTATATTAAAACAAAAGTTTAAGACAAAAAACAAGTTTAGTTATTCAGTTTAACAAACTTTAATTACAAGTGTAGGCGTTATATATATGATAATAATATATATATAATCATAAATGTGATATAATATATAAATACAGTATATATACTGTATATTAAATTTGATGGCTAAATATATAACAAAATAAAAAATTAACAAAAAACGGGTGTTTATTTAAAATATAATAACTAAAGTAAATATTATATTTTATATAAATTTATATACAGGTATATACTATAAATATAACTTAATCTCAATGATATGGGGGACACACACTTACCGACGCCTCCTCACAATAGGTCCTCATTTTGTTGTTCTCCCTATTGAAACAAATATTAAACAAAAAACAAATAAATAAAATAAAACAAATGAAAAATAATTTTCAATTACTTTCAAATTGTTTTCCCAAAAAACAACAAATAAATTAATAAATAAATAATTTTGTTGTGTTTTTCTAATAAAAATTAATTTAACGTTAGTTTTGTTTTGTTGTTTAGTTTAACCCAATGTTTATTTTTTTAAAAAAAGAGTTAAATTATATATTTTTTTTGTTACAATTATTTTTAATCCTGATTTATTTAATACTGGATATAAAGTTTATATTATAAACAATTTAATATTATCCTATAAATACTGATATATGATATTAAATATAAATATATATAATTAAAATTATTAATTACAACATATATATATATAAAAACAACAAAAACAAAATAAATAATTAATTAAATAATAAAACAAATAATTTTTTAAAAATCAAATAAAAACTTTATAATATGTAAAATTTAATGTATATTATATTTACATTAGTTTATTATATCCATAGTTAATGCCATACAATGAAACACAACTGAAAAATACTGATTTTTTCCAATTGTTTCGCAAAATTTTTACGGTTTTTACAATCATTTTGTGTTGTTTTTTATAAAAAAAAAAAATAGATTTAGAAAATTTTAAGCTAAAAGAAACTTAATTTAAATATTTATATTAACAAAAAAAAACACTTATATTCACAAAACAATAAAACAAAATGAGATTTAAATTTATTTAAAAAAAAGTACAAATGATTTGAATTATGTTTTACAATGTTTTGATTGTCAAAACAGTTTACTATTCAATACATAAACACAAACACAATGTTTACGTCCATTGAAGACATGCTTTAATCACATGTTTTTGTCTCTCTATTACAATAATGTTGTATTGACTGTAAAAGGGGGGGGACTGTACTGTCATTGAAAAGTGATATATTTTTAAATAATGTACATATTATTACAGTATTTAAAAAATATATATACAATTAGTATCTATTTATTGCATTTATTATAATCACAATTATCGGGTTATAGCAATTATTTTTTTTAAACAAATAATAATAATAATAAAAGTTATTAAACTTAGCAAAAGGGTTATGTGTGAACATTTAACCTTTATAATTTTTTTTATTATTATAATTTAGTTCCTATAGGAAATCTACATGATAACAAATAATAATAATAATAATAATAAGTTTATATACCATATTGTTAATTTATTTTTGTTTAACTAATTCAATGACTATAGTCACTATACCTGTATATATTAAATTAGTTTTTTTTATTTTTTAAAAAAATGTCATTAACATTGAAGAGGATATTGCAAAATATGCGCTTCAATGATATTATTACTATTGAAATATTTTTTTAATTTTGCATAATTGTAAATTAACATTTACAGTTTATTATTATTTTAATTTATTTTTTTTAATTCTTATTTTTTTGATTAATTAGTTTTTTTTGTTGTTAATGTTTTTTTTCGTTAGTTGACAATTTGTAGAGAAGATTGAAAAAAATCATTAAATTGTTTTACATTTCTGAGAAAATTTATTCGTTAATTAGCATTATTTTTTATGAATTTTAATTTATTTTGTTGTTGAATTTAAATTTTGTTATTTCCATAAATTCAACAATAAAATTAAAATTATTATTTCAAAATTTCAAATGAAAAGTGAAAACTTTTTTTTGTTGTTGTTTTGTTTTATTTTCAATGAAATGTTTTATATCTCACACATTGGATGTCAATCGCCTGTCCTATCGATTACAGTATTATCAGTGATTTCCGTCAGTTTTGATTTACTCATAATTTTATTTTTAATAATTTTTTTTCGAAGAATAAAAATTGTGTCAATCTTGCAGTCAATTCAAAATATATGATAATATTTTCTTGTTTTAATAATAATATTGTTTTATATATATATATTTGAGAATAAATTTAAATATTATTTATAAGATTATAATCAATTACCATTATAATTATTAACTGTATAGAAAATTAATTGCATAAATTATAGCTATTTGATTGTGTGTCTCATTTATCTTTATAGTTTAATTAGACGTTTTTTAGTTTTTTACTTTAGTGTGTGTGTTGTGTCTGATAACTAAATTGTTGTTTTGTTACCGGAAACTATTTGTTATAATTAATTATAATATTATTTATTTAAAAATTGATGTTTTCATATAAATATGATTATAATTCTCAAACATTTATATATAAATAAAATGATATTTTTTTATTTTCTGATAAAAATATATTAATAATGGTACTTCTATAATTTATTTAACTTAATTTAATTGCAATTCAAAACAATATAATTACATAAAAATAAATTGCCAAATCATTTATATTTGTATTTATAAAACTAAAATATGATTACAACAAAACATTTATATAATATTTGTGTTTTGAAATTATTTTTTTGTTTGATTTTTGTTGTATTTATTAAAACACCATTGGATTAACCTCAAAATTCAAATACATTTATGTATATTATAATATAATAATCAATTACTTTTTATTTTTGTAAATCATTATTATACAACATATATTGTACTGTATATATGATATAATGTATTTTGTATGACTTAATTTCTTATTTACTAACTAGCCTTTGATCTAATATATACAAATAAATAGCATATATAATATATACAATGTGTACTTATATTATATATAAAATATTGTATACGTATTATAAATGTAAGAGAGATTAATGTAATAAATATGAGTTTATATACTTTCAGATAATTATAATCCATTTATACAACAATACACATAACTTATTGTACTGTAATATAATATAAAAGTTGAATCTCATTAATATTTAAACAAATTTCTCTCCCATTGATGTTATAATCGTGATTATAATCAATTGAATTAATAAGTTTTTTTTATTGTTGTTGTTTTCGCTGTTATTATGAATTTTTTCTGATTAATTGCTAATCAATAGTAATTTTCATTATTGTCTTTTTCCAGATTTTTCTTGATTAATATTTATATTATTATATTTATATATTTGTTTTATATGTTCGATATTAACCATTAAAAATAATTATGTAATGAATCTAAATGTTTTTATAAATAGTTTTTAATTATAGAGTCAGATTAGATATTAAATATGTCTATATGTGAAATGAGATCAGCAGCAATTAAATAAATAAATTGAATATAAAAAATAATATTAATATTAATAACTATATATAATATATATATAAATTTATATATAAATATACAATTATAAAATAAATGTTTAACTATGGATTTTATTATTTATTATTTAATACTTTTTTCTATGTATAATAATGTGTGCCATAAAAAGGTAGTTGATTTTTGAAAGCAACTTAATATTTATTCACAAACAATAACAAACAAATAAAATTAATACAAAAATAACTCAAAAATAAAAATAAAATAAAAATGATTTAATTTTTTCAGAGAAAACTCACTATTACTGCAAATTTTATATCGAATATATAATACTAAACTACCTATACTTCTAATGTATTATGAATTTTATTTACTAATAAACAAAAAGTAATTATAATTTTATTTAATTTTTATATTTAGACACAAAGAGATTAGTAAATTTAATGGCAAAAACAAACTTGAAACAAATAATAAAATAAAAAGTCAACAAAACATTTGGTAATTTAAATTAATAACCAACCGGTGATAAAGATTAAATTGAATAAATATATATAGTATATACACTGTATACTCAGTATACTGTATATAGATTATAATTTTGTTTGTTTAGTTTTTTGTTGTTGTTTATTTATGACATTTAACGTGGGTATTATTTTGTGAAAATGAAATGTCTAATTTATTAATAATATATATATATATATATACGGTATAATAATAATAATAAATATAATAATAAATATAAACAAGTTTCGTGGGCCGAAACTCATTATAACTTTAACTACAAAAAAAAACTTTTATTAGTGCTTTAATTTTTTGTTTTTGTTATTGTCATTATTATTATTATTATTATTATTCACATTGCTATTATTATTGTTATTATTATTATTATTATTACTATTGCTATTAATGTTGATTATTTTTTTATTGTTGGCCCCGTTTCCTGATGATATACCTGTCCTGTTGTTGTTGTGTATACCAACACCAACACCAGTGCCGCCAACTGTAACACCTAAGCCCTGTGTCTTATGACTGATCTCTCGATCCGTTGTCTTTGTGTCCAATTTGTTATTTTTAACTGTCGTCCGAGCGGTTTGTGTCCGATTCCGGCTATTGGATCCGTTAGCCATTAATGAGCAAATAATAATAATAATGTTTGTATTGATTAAAAATATGACAAATAATAGCACACCTGACACGCAAACCATTATTAGGATTAAATGAAGTCGTGTCCTGTTATTAAAAATATATAATATTATTATACTGTTAAATATTTTTTTTGTTGTATTTAATATATGACATAAAACGTTTTTTTATATACAAATACAGTATAAGTTATATATGAATATTATAAAGATTTATTTTATTTTTATATTATAAAATATAATACTGTATATACTAAATGTATCTCTCATTTGAATGTATAAACTTAATTACTTTTTATAGTAAAGCATCATTTTATGTGTTTTTAATATTTTTCAATTAGTTTTTATATTTGTATTTTTCAAGGAAATCTCAATTAACATAATTTTTTATGTGAAAAATATTAAAGTCAGATATAGTTTTTGATTATTGGTGTAAATGAAATTTATAAATATAGACACGATTTTATGGAAATTAAAATAAAATTAATTATATATAAAAACGTTATCGATTTGATAATATATTTTTCTCTCTCTTTCTGTCTCTCTCTCTCTCACACACAAGTTATGATAAATTTTTCAGAAAATAAAATTAATAAAACTATTTCTTAATAAATAAATAAATAAATATATAAAGCAAAATCTGCTAACAAACTGCATAATTGATTATTTTGTTTATAATTTGGACCTAATTTTTTCAGCACTTAATTATTAAAAATAAATATAAAAATTATTCAAAAGCGATGTCAAATTATTTTTTTTTAAATTATTCAATAACCTGAAAATCAATCACAATATATAATCCATTAGTTACTGTATTAACAAACCTGTGTTGTCCGGCAAACGTGTCGATATCGCAACAGTACTCTCTATATGTATCACTATTAAGCTTATGTCTATCATAATCCTCATCCCGACAACAATATAATCTTAGAAATGCTGTATTATTGCCAACAAAACAATTGCTGTAATATTTGGTTAGGTTTTCATCGATAGTCAAACAAATGCCCACTTCTGGTCTATCATTAGTCAATACGTCTAATAAATATAAATATATAAATTGTATATATTATACAAAACTATAATTATTAATCATAATTTATATACACTATATAATATATAAATATATTAAATAAAACATTGATAACAACATTCATATATTTTGGGTGTTTATGAAAGTTGTTTTTACTAATTAAAAGTTTGATTAATTATAAAGAATTTTTCTTATTATTTTTTCTTTTGAAAAAATAAATAAATAAAACAATTGAATACCTTTTGCAATGAAAGTAATTATCGATGAAATAATAACAAATGTCTTGAAAACAAATGAATTTCTAATAAAACAATAATTAATCATAACTTCGTTAAAAACACTTTTATCAATATATTTAGTTATATATATAATAATAATAATGAATCCAATGTTTTTATGTCATTAATTTTCACAATACTAGCTATTATTTAATGGCACAAAATATTAATTAAATTTACTGTTTAGATTGATATGCAAAATAGCAATAAAAATCTGTGTTAACTATAATTACAATAAAGTTATAATAATTTTTAGTACACTATGTATGCTTTCAATAGGGTTGAGGTCTTAAATATAGTAATATTTAAATATATAAATATATTATTTATTATTGATCTATAAATGAATTCAAATTCAGATACACACGTGAATTAGAAAAACTATATTATTGTTAATATTGTTATTGTTATGATTGTTATTATGATTATTGTTGTTATTGTGTCTAAAGTTATATTTTTTATTTGTTTTCTTAAAACAATTTATAGCATTAAAAAAATAATTTATTATTTATCAATACATTCGTAAATATTTCAATATAATAATTGATTGATATCATTTTTTTGATGGCATACCAAACAATAACTATAAGAAAAACATTTAGTATTTTAAATATGTAGTGATTTTTATAAAGCATTTTATCGTACAGTAAATGCTATACAATAGTAGTTATTTTGGAACAAATTTTAAAACAAAAATAATACAAACAATAATCAATTTAAAATGTTATAGTGTTGTAATTACAGTATGTTTTTTAATTTTAAACTTATAAGAATTTATATATATATAAATTTATTTAAACAATAATTTTTATATATTTTTTTATCATTGACTTAACTTTTCTTTGAGAAAAAAAATTATGAATCAGTGAGATAACATTTTTTATGATTTTTAAAAAAAAGAAGCTAAAGATATTTAATATATTATATCAAATATATATTGTTATTATAGCTAAAATTTAGTAATTTTATCGACTTATTTCTATTAAGTACAATTCAATTAAACACATACATACACATATACATACATGCACTACAAATCAATGCAATACATAAGTATGAAATAAAATAAAACTAAGATTTAGGATTTAAGTATTATATGAAAGAATTTTGTAAAATTATTATTTTCTAAAAAAATCTACTTTAATATATAATACATTCAACAAACTGTACCCCAAATATTTAAAAACAATTAAAAAATTGAAACAAAAAATTTTAAAAGCTATTAGTCAAACACAATGCTTTTACTGGTTGTATGTAATGTAAAAAATATTGTAGTATATTATAAATACCCTGCAGAGTTATTTGTATAATAATAATAATAATAATGTTATTATTAATTTATTGGTGTTATAAGTTTAACGTGATTTTAGTTTAGGTTTTTTTTATTGTTTAATAATGTTAACAAACTGCAGCAAAATGTTTGCCATAATTTTAATTAAGTGTTAAATATTTAACCACAAAACAGTGTATTTTGTTTAATTGTATTTTCGTTAATATTAATAAATATTGTATATAAATATATAAAAATATATATTAAACAATTGCCTTTATTAACACAATTTTATCGTTAAAATTATCTAAAAAAACTGCATGCATTAATTTATAATAATTTATATTAAATGTTTGTTATAGTATTTTAATTCAATTCATAAAATTTATTTTTTATGCGATTTTTTCTTTACTTTATATATATATATATTATTGTATATACTGTAAGTATAGTTGAAAAGCACAAGTATGTAATATGTGTTCAGGTATGTCATATAATACTGTATACATATATTTATATAACTTCAGTAAGTTTGTTGTTAGGTATGTACTGCTTATCTATAGAAAAATCAGTTGTCTTTAGGATAAAAAAATTTCTTCAATGCATTTACTTAACTTATAATCTTAACTTTTTATTTTAATTAATTTAATATACATTCATATTAATAAATAATAAAAATAAAATTTTATTATATAATAAATTTTTCAAAATAAAAAAAACTTGCACACATATTAATTAAATAAAGTTTGTATTTTAAATACACTGTGCTTTGATTTAATAAAATTATTATTTTTTTATTTTCCTTTATTATGTACACAGTATTATATTAAGAATTTTTTTTTAGAAATAATTTATTGTTAAAATTATATGTAATATTTAAGATAAATCTAAGGTATATGTTTATAAATATATTAAAACAAACTATTAATACAAATAAATAGCCAAAACACGGTTTCCACCCTATCATCATCCCATCCTTGTTCCCAAAAAAAATCTAACGGTGCTTTAATTTTAATTGATTATGTAATATATTATAAAAGTTAATACAAATTTATACCCTTTATTTAAAAACATATATTTAAAATGATTTTATTTAAGCGTATTTTTCTCTTTAACTATTTCAATAATGGCACAAACGGGAAGCATAAGTATAAATAAAAATTTCAATTAAACTTATATATAAAAGAAAATAAATGAAAAATTGTTAAAATTCAATTTAATCTTAAATTATTAGTTTAATATAAAACAATAAATAAGTGAACAAAAAATATTACTATTTAATTAACATCTAATTGCTATTTTAAAAAATAATAAACAAAACAAAAAATAACTAAAAGTTTGTTTGTTAGTACTAATTAAAAATTTATATATTTAATTAGGTATTATCACAAAAAAATCTTATTTCAAATAAATTTATATATAAAACACACACAAAATTAACTAAAATTTTAATTACACTAACTTTTATTTATTTTTTAAACTATTTTTATGCTTTTTGTTTGTTTGTTTGTAAAACAACCAAGCATTTTTTAAGTACACTTTTTCTCACAGTATTTTTTGACATAACTTTTTATACATAAATGTATTTATTATATATAAATATATATCAGATGTTATATAAAGAGCTTAATTTAAGATTTATTTTATTTTCATACAATTTAGTGTTATTCTGCAGTTTTAAAACAAAAACTTTGTTTTAAATAAGTATTTTAATCCTTAAGTAAGAATATATTATTAATTTCTACTTTTTTCATGTATAGTAATAACCGGACACTTAGTTTATAAATACAAACTAACGATTTATTTGTATCAATATATAATATTTAAAATATAAACCATTAGCTTTATATTAATAACCTATAAAATAAAAAATTAAACTTAAAATTTAATTTATATAAAATAATTTACAATTTTTTACTTATTTTTAAAACTATGAAAAATAAAATAAGTTTTTCTTTATTTAGAAATACATATAAAACAACAACAAATTTATTTATTTATTATATCAATTGAGTTTATTTGAAAATTATTTAAATTATTAGTACGTATTATGATTATATACAGTATACAGTATATGCCCTGTATTTTAAATATTTATATTAATAACCCATCAAATAGCATTCACACAAATTTATTTATAAATTTTTATTTGTTTATTGTCGTGATTTTTTAATTTGTTAATAATTTATATAAATAATATAATTGCATAAATTTTCTCTTTGAATTTAAACTCGATAATTATAATATATTCACAAATAATGCTAAAAGGGGTAAAAGTTGCTAATGATTTTAAAAATATAAATATATATATATTATGATATTTATATAAGGAATTGCAAAAAATTAGAAATATATCATATATTTTTATATTTATAAACTCAGATACTAATCTATATTGTAATTTCTATGTGCACACACACACACACACACATATACATACATACATACATACATACATACATACATACATACATACATACATACATACATACATACATACATACATACATACATACATACATACATACATACATACATACATACATACATACATACATACATACATACATACATACATACATACATACATACATACATACATACATACATACATACATACATACATACATACATACATACATACATACATACATACATACATACATACATACATACATACATACATACATACATACATACATACATACATACATACATACATACATACATACATACATACATACATACATACATACATACATACATACATACATACATACATACATACATACATACATACATACATACATACATACATAMATACATACATACATACATACATACATACATATAAATAAATAAATAAATAATTATAAATATTATATAAATACATATATTTAAATAAAGACCTTAATTTTAATCTGTTGGTAATTGCTATGCTATGCTTTTGAATTTTATTACTCAATTATATTTTTATGAAAATATTATTATTATTTGTTATTTAAATTTATAATAATTTTTCTAAATATATACTGTATATAAATATAAAAATATGTAAATATTTGATAATGAAATTTCTAAAATTATAGATTTATATTAATATTAATTAGCTTTTTCCATATAATATTAAATAACAACATTTAAATTTTACTAGTAAAGCAAATTTAACAACTTTTAATAAAGTTATTTTATTTAAATTAATGCATTGAGATCAACGTATAAATATATATTTATATGATTTGACGCTTTTTATTATATTATTAACAATTATATGTAATACGTTTTGTAGGGATTAAATTGTTAGTTATGAATAAAAGAGACACTTATGTACTGTATATATATATATATATATATATAAGACATTTCAATTTGCATATATGGGATATATTGCATACAGTTTTGAATTACATAATTACATTCAATTATCGCCCATCAAACAGACAACACATATACACACATTCAAACTAATGTTAAATTTGAATATTTGTCAATCAATGGTTATTTAAAATTATTGGGTTTTTCTAATATTATTTAAATATATAATTCATTTGCATTAATAATATTATAATATCTAAATATGTTATTATAAATATATACATACTGTATATATAGATTATATACGTACTGTTTATATGGATAAATAAAAAAATACTATATTATTATTATTAATAATTATTTATGTACTGTAATTTTATTCAAATATGACAAATATTTAAATCTAGATATTTGTATTAATTCTATAGCATAAAAAAAATTTAGTGCACTTTTTTTTTAATTTTAAATATTTTTATTAAAAAAAAGTTGAATATGAAATAAAATAACTTTTTTTAATATTTGAAAATAAATAGTGTAATTATTTGAACAATAGAGAAAACCTCAATTTATTGGCAACACATTAGACAATACAATGAAATTGAAATAATATCTCAATTTTTCTCTTTTATATTATTATTATTATTCTACATAACAAATATCAAACACAAACCAATTAACTTTACAAAACTATAAGTAACTAAATATTATTAATATTACAACTATTTATGTTTTATCTATTAATAAACACAGAGAGAGAAAAAAATGATAAAAAAACACATTTCTTTTATAATAAATTCATCCGATTAATCATTTTTCTCTTGACATTCAATTTTTATAAATTTTAAAATAATATTTTAGCTTACATTTTGACACTAATTAGCCATTTATTTTTTTCGGTTACAAATAATACCAAGTGGTTTGTAGTAATACAGTAATATCCAAATGGGAAAAAACATCAAATGTTAAAAACGTAGAAAATTAAAGTTAATTTTTCGTTTCCATTCAATTTCTTAGCAATTCATCATTTATTTATTTTTAGTGAATGTGTAATTGTTATAATAATTATAATAATATGGCAATGGATTGAACTGGCAAACCAATATATCAAACACAAAATATTAGTTATTATTATTTTTTAAAATTATTAATTTGAGTAAATTTTGCCATTAAACTCATTTTATTTTGTTTGAACTATAAATTGAAAAAAATTATTTTGCTATTTTCAAACACGGTATATATAAATTATCTCATATATATCTATCCTATATTTAACTTTGACATTATAGACAAATTTAAGTACTATTTTACAAATACCGTATTATTTATTATTTATTAAAAAAAAACTATTTCAAACATTTTTAGCAAAGCAGTTAACACAATGTTGTTGAATTCATGTCTATATGTTAATCACTGAATATTATTTACATTTTTTGTTGAATTTATATAACAGTTTTTTAAAAATATTTTATAATATATATATTGTAATTATTTTAAATTGTATTTTTTAATATTTTATACAGTATTTTCTGTAATTTTTGCTGTTGTTGTATTGTAGTTTAGTATAAAATAATACTGTATACATACTTATTATTTTTTTAATGATAAAATGTGTCTTCAAGATAAACCTGAAGTTTTTTAATTTTTTTTGTCATATAATTTAATAATTAATATTTTATTTGTGATAAATTTCATAACATAATGAAACATATTAGCATAAATGTCAATATTTATTAGAAAATACTTGTAGTTTTTTTTAATTATAAATAATACACTTTTTATGTAATATTTTAGTTCACCGCTCGGGTATATTGCTTGAGGATTTCAATGTCATTTAACTAATACATTAATACTACTACTACTAATAATAATAATAGTTATTAAATTTTTTAAGTCCAGAGAAAATATAAGTTAAGATTTATAACATAATCATAATATCCATATGATAATAAATATGTGAAAAAAATTAATTTTATTAATATTAAAAAAAAGTTTGATTACAAAAAAAATTTAGTCTTAAATATTATATTATATAACTTATACAACTTATACTTAACTGAACCATACATTTAGCACTTTTAGTGCCGCTTATGTGTTGACGACTTTCGTGTTTTATTAAAACATGTTATTTCATATAAAAACTTGAGTTTAACATCAACAACATCAACAACAACAACAACAACAACAACAACAACAAACATACATCAAATACCCCAACAAAATATTAATTGCAAATTATATAAGATATTTTTATTTAGAAATATTTTTTTTGTGTTCAAAGAAATATTATAAATTTACTTATTATTTAAATTATACTAAATATATCTATATAAAGCATTTACATTTAAATTTATCATATACTGTACATGTCTGCATATATATATTTATATATATATATGCATACATCCAAACGATTTTTAGATATTATGCATTATGTATTTATGCAAAATTATTATTTTTTCAAATGCTATTTTCTGTCTATGTTTTATACTGAGAGAGAAAAACTAATTAACATTAAGACAACTACAACAACAACAAAGTGTCTAAATTCACGCTTAAACTTGACATTTGTCAGTTAACAACAAAAATCACATATAATATTAAACAAATTGTTTAAACAAATTGGCAACCAGTTTATTAACACTCATGTATAACAACAAATTTTTTTCGTGTACAGTATATTTAATTATAATGATATATTTATTGCGGAAACTATTGAGAAATTACACCAAAATATTATTATTAGTATTATAGTTATTATCTATTAGCGTAACAATAAATAATGAATTTTAAATGAAAATATAATTAATATTTTATTATTTTGTTTTTTTGTTTTGTACAGTTGTTGTTGTGATAATTAACTTGTAAAGCAATATATAATATTTGTCTACAAATCTGTGAGAGAAAAACTTTTTAAGTAATAATAATATTATTATCATATTATTATTATTACCGGTTGATTGTTGTCAAGTCATGTCAATTGTCAATTTAGATTAACTTTTGTTTTACAGTAAAAAAAATTAATATATTATATTTTTTGAACATCAATTTATTTAAACCAATTCAAAATATGCATTCATTAAATTGACATGGATCAATTTTTTTTATCTCAATGTATATTTTATTAGATTTATATACTGTATATAAGCAAAAATCTAATAATACATTATTATTTTATGTAAAAGATTAGATAATTTGAGCGTCAAATAGCTTGAAATGCATGCTTATTAACGGCTAATATAATTAAGACATTAGTTATATTATAAGTGAATCGTTTAGATATAAGATTTTCTCAAAAGATAAGGACATTAGCGCTAACACAGCAAAAAATATTTGCCTAAAACCTCTATATATTGTATATACAGATTAAATATATATATATATAATATGATATATATTATATTAGATGAGGTATTTGATTAGCTAACAAAATGAAAATAACAACAAAATAACTGCTAAATAATAAAATTATATTTAAGCAATTAAAACGCCTTTTGATAATAAGGTGACTATTATTTGCGCCAATAAACAAAAAAATGTAAACTTAGATTAAAATTGAAACAAAACACAAATAACTTTTTTTTAAATGAAAACTAAAAAATTATTCAAAAGCTAATTATTTAAGTCCTAAGACTTGTTTTAGTTTTATAAAAATATTTTTTAAAAGTTAACAATTAGCGCATTTGAGTGCACTCTTATACACAATTGAAAAACAATAAAATAACATCTAATCATTTGTTTTATACTAAATTACAGTTAGATTTAAGCATCAAAATTGATAGGATAGGAGAGCCGACAAAAAACATAAATGTGTAGATATTTTGTGTGTGTGTGTGTGTGTGTGTGTGTGTGTGTGTAATATACTATATATATATACAGTATATAAAAAGATTTTTCATTAAAAATATTTCAAAAAATAACAAAAATATTTATCAACCAAAAGATGAATAACTTTTTAATTTCTATGTATGATATTATCAATCTCTTTGGGTATTGGGATAGGGATGTGATATGTCTGTATGTCTGTAAATGTGTGTTGGATGTGCTGCATATTTATATGCATACATATATGATATGGCAAACCCGTTGACTAACCAGTTATTGTGTTGATCTATCTGTTTCATTGAGAGTCGTTAATGAGATAACAAATTTTTGCTGTTATTATTGTTGTTGTTTTTTTGGTTAAATTTTGTTGTTGTTGTTGTTGTTGTTGTTAATGATGATGAACTAAAATAATATATTTTTTTTAAAACATAATACAGTATTAAAAAATTGTATATATTTTTATAAAGTATAATATATTGTAGAAACAAATATTTGATATATTATATAAATGGTCAATAAGACACAGTGATAAATGATGGGCACTATTTTCATCGACCAATTTAATTTCAAACAATATAGTTGTGTATAATATTGTATATAAAGTATATATATACTGTATATATATATATATATATGTTTGTTTGTATCATAAATTTTGTTAAATAATTTATTAACTCATTATCCCATTGCCTTTTGTATATTAATTGGTCTTATTTTGTTGTTGTTGCTGTTGATGATACCCAACAAAATTAGTAATATAAATAAATTAGAGATTTATTATTATTATTTAATAATTATGGTTATAGAGGAAAATGTTTTTTATTTGATAAAAATGTTTTTTTTCTTGAAACTTAACAAATCTTATTTAATATATAACTATTGAATTGAATAATAATAATATATTATAGTGTGTTTGGTTTGTTAGGGATCTCTCTTCTCTCTCTCTCTCTCTCTCTCTCTCTCTCTCCTACACATAAACATTAAATAAATACAATAACTAAACTGAATTATATTATATATTATATTATATTAAATATGAAAACAAATAAAAAATAAATTTGTAATTTATTGGTAAATTAAATTCATAAGTTCACTGATTGTATTTTTATTTTTGTCTTTAAAAAAAACAATAATTTATTATAGATATAAATGTGATTATAATTATATTTTGTTTGAAAATYTATTTTTTTATTATAATTATAATTATTATTGCTTTTCATTGAATATATATATATATATATATATATATTGTTAGCAAAGTTGAAATCCCTTTCCCATATGTTTGTTGGCATCTAATGAATTGAAATGAAAAGAATTGAAAATTAGTTTGTTTTTTATTGCAATTTCTTATTTAAATAAAAACTTTTATTATTATTATTTTTTATAAATAAAGTTATTTAAAAGTTATATATTATACTATAGTTTACATTAAGCAAAGAAATAATATCATTAATACAATAGTATTATGATTATGATTATTGTTATTATTTAATATGGAATTTTTTTATGCATTTAATTTAAAATTATTTTAATTATAGAAAATAAATAATTGTATAGAAACTRAATCATATAATTCATATAATTAAAAATACATTTAGATTTTCAAAATATAATATATGTGATTTGAAATAAATTTTTTTATATTAGTATATTATTAAATATACAGAACATAAGTAAAATATAAATATTATAAAAGTGTTTATATATTAATTATAGATTTAAATATACATATTTACAGTATGTGCTTAATTTTTTTCAAAATATAAAATTATTATTTTTTCAATAGACACGAAACATTTGTTATTACAATAGAAATCAAAGCTTAGGTAAAAAAATTAATTAAAACAAAATAATTTTCTTTTATATATAAGATATATATAAATATATTTTATATATAGAGTATCTCTCTCTCTCTCTCTCTCTCTCTCTCTAAAAAAAATATGTTTGCTTAGCAAACAAGTATTTTTAGGTCTATTTTTTGTGGTTCACCTCAACACTATTGAGGGCAACTTAATAGTATAACTAAAGTGGTAGTAATAGTAATATTATCAAAAAAAACTTGAAAAGTTTTGTTTACTGAAATCTATAATGGCTTTTTGAGTCTGTCTGTCTGTAGCATTTTTTTTGCGAATTTTGAAATTCTGATTTCAGATTCGGTTAGAGGACTACTAATAATGTATTGAAAAGTTGCATCAAAATTTTGATATCTCTTCGGGAACATAAAAAAATGGCGGCCAAAATTAAGAAATTTTTAAGAAATTTTTTTTAGGTATATATTTGTATAAAGCATCAAAAACAAGCATAAGAAATATGCATTAAAATTTTGATATCTCTTCGGGAACAGAAAAAATGGCGGATTTGAGAAATATTTTCATGAAATCACCTTTATTTTTACTGTTTTAGATACAAATATTGACTTATATAATAAACTGAGCATATTGTATAAAAATATTGCGTCAACATTAATATTGAGTCAACATTAATATTGCATCAATATTTAATAAATATAAATAAAGTGAAAATATTATTTAACGTCTCAGTTCTAGTAGAGCCATCGAATAGACAACATGTAAGTAAATTAATAATTAAATTATATATTTAAATTATATTTATAATTATTTAATAAAATTTATTTTTATTTTCTGTTTGTTATTTTAATAACTACGTCAACATTAATATTGCGTCATTATTTAATATTGTGTCAACATTATTATTGCGTCAACATTTAATATTGCGTCACTAATAAATATTGCGTCATTATTTAATATTGAGTTAACATTATTAATGCGTCACTATTTAATATTGCGTCAACATTTAATATTGCGTCACTATTTAATATTGCGTCATTATTGAATATTGCATCACTATTTAATATTGCGTCATTATTTAATATTGCATCAACATTTAATATTGCGTCACTATTTAATATTGCGTCATTATTTAATATTGAATCAACATTATTGCGTCACTATTTAATATTGCATCAACATTTAATATTGCGTTACATTTAATATTGCATCACTATTTAATATTGAGTCAACATTATTATTCGTAACTATTTAATATTGCGTCAATATTTAATATTGCGTCACTATTTAATATTGCGTCATTATTTAATATTGAAGCAACATTATTATTGCGTCACTATTTAATATTGCGTCCACATTTAATATTGCGTCAACATTTAATATTGCGTCAACATTTAATATTGCGTCATTATTTAATATTGCGTCATTATTTAATATTGCGTCAACATTTAATATTGCGTCAACATTTAATATTGTGTCAACATTTAATATTGTGTCAACATTTAATATTGCGTCAACATTTAATATTGTGTCAACATTTAATATTGTGTCAACAGTTAATATTGCGTCAACATTTAATATTGCGTCAACATTTAATATTATAAATAAAGAGAAATTATTATTTCAAGTCTCATTTCGAGTTGAGCCGTCAAAGAGACAACATGTAAGTCTTACTTATTTTATTATTACACTTAATAATTAATATTATATTTAAAATAATTATTAAAAATTACTATTATTTGTTATTTCATTAAACTGATAATAGTGTCAACATTAATATTGCGTCAACATTAATATTGCGTCAACATTAATATTGCGTCAACATTAATATTGCGTCTACATTAATATTGGATCATTGTATAATATTGAATCAACATTCAATATTATTATAAATAAAGTGAAATTATTATTTCAAGTCTCATTTCGAGTTGAGCCGTCAAAGAGACAACATGTAAGTCTTACTTATTTTAATATTACAGTTAATAATTAATATTATATTTAAAATAATTATTAAAAATTACTTTTATCTGTTATTTCATTAAACTGATGTGTCAACATTAATATTGCGTCAACATTAATATTGCATCAACATTAATATTGCGTCAACATTAATATTGCGTCTACATTAATATTGGATCATTGTATAATATTGAATCAACATTCAATATTATTATAAATAAAGTGAAATTATTATTTCAAGTCTCATTTCGAGTTGAGCCGTCAAAGAGACAACATGTAAGTCTTACTTATTTTAATATTACAGTTAATAATTAATATTATATTTAAAATAATTATTAAAAATTAATTTTATTTATTTCATTAAACTAATAATTGCGTCAACATTAATATTGCGTCAACATTAATATTGCGTCTACATTAATATTGGATCATTGTTTAATATTGCATCAACATTCAATATTATTATAAATAAAGTGAAATTATTATTTCAAGTCTCATTTCGAGTTGAGCCGTCAAAGAGACAACATGTAAGTCTTGCTTATTTTATTATTACACTTAATAATTAATATTATATTTAAAATAATTATTAAAAATTAATTTTATTTATTTCATTAAACTAATAATTGCGTCAACATTAATATTGCGTCAACATTAATATTGCGTCAACATTAATATTGCGTCAACATTAATATTGCGTCTACATTAATATTGCGTCTACATTAATATTGGATCATTGTTTAATATTGCATCAACATTCAATATTATTATAAATAAAGTGAAATTATTATTTCAAGTCTCATTTCGAGTTGAGCCGTCAAAGAGACAACATGTAAGTCTTACTTATTTTATTATTACACTTAATAATTAATATTATATTTAAAATAATTATTAAAAATTACTATTATTTGTTATTTCATTAAACTGATAATAGTGTCAACATTAATATTGCGTCAACATTAATATTGGATTATTGTTTAATATTGCATCAACAATAAATATTATAAATAAAGTGAAATTATTATTTCAAGTCTCAGTTCGAGTTGAGCCGTCAAAGAGAAAACATGTAAGTCTTATTTATCTAATAATTTTGTATAATAAAAAAGCTTATTTTATTATTAGTGTTAATAATTAATATTATATTTAAAATAATTATTATCTGCTATTTGTTTTATTTATTTGTTTATTAATTATTGCGCAAATAATAATATTGCGTCACTAATTTATAGTGGGTTTACATTAATATTGCGTCTACATTAATATTGCGTCTCTATTTATTGTTGCGTCAATATTAATATTAACATTTAATATTATCTATAGTTATTTTGACTTTTTCTTATACATAATATATTTATTTTATATTAAAATATTTAAAGTTAATTACAAATAAATATTTTAGTAGATTCAAAATCATGTCTGATTATGAAAACGAAGATTACTTAGATTCGAAAAAGCGAAAAAAATCTGCTGATAGACAGAGAATAGCTGATAAAAGACTTAAAGATAAAGAATCACGTGATCGTGAAAAAGAAGCCGACAAACAAAGAAAAGCTGATAAACGTCTCAAAGATAAAGAATCACGTGATCGTGAAAAAGAAGCCGAGAAACATAGAAAAGCTGAAAAACGTTTCAAAGATAAAGAATTTCGTGATCGTGAAAAAGTAGCCGACAAACATAGAAAAGCTGATAAACGACTTCAAAATAAAAAGACACGTGATCTTGAAAAAGAAGTCAAAAAACTAGTTAAAGTAAAAAATCAAAATAATTCTAATTTTAAGAAATTTGAAGATGCAAAGCTATTAGGTCCTACTGAAATCTGTTCGTGTTGTGGATGTTTATGGTTTATCACACAAATTCGTTCTTTCAACATAGTTAACTTCACAAAATTGAATGACAATGAGAAAGCACAAATCGATTTCTTTAATTTAAAAGAAAATTGTCATTTTTGCAATACATGTTATCAAGATATATTAAAGTCTAAAATTCCTCGATTATCTTTATCTCATGGACTGATGTTTCCAGAAATACCAGAATGTCTTAATAGTCTCAATGATTTAGAAGAAAGAATGGTGTCCGCAAGAATAATATTTGAAACAATATTACATTTACCAAAAGGTGGACAGTATAAAATGAAAGGAAATGTAGTTAACGTTCCAGTAGATCCAAATGCAATGCTTCCATTATTACCAAGAATTGACGATGAATTGCATATTATAAGAGTACAATTAAAAAGACGTATTAATGATCCACCTCGATTGGATAACAAAGACTTGTATAAAACTGTTAGACCACACGAATTAAAGCAAGCACTTAATTTTTTAATTAAACAAAGTGCCTATATAAATGCTGGTGTTAAACTAAAACATGACTGGTATAAACGATTTCCCAAAGAGTTTTCTCAAATAAATGAATCAGAAGAAGATAAACTAACTAATAATATTATTAATGATGACGATGATATTGTTGGATGTTTAGATACACTTTTGGATAGTGATGATCCACAAGTTGGAGTAGCATATGCTCCTGGA